TCCTAGAGAAGCAGTTCTCAACCGGTGGGTCACGACCCCTTTGGCGGTCGAACGACCTTTTCACAGGGGTCACCTAAGACCATCCTGCATATCAGATATTTACATTACAATTCATAACAGTAGCAACATTACAGTTATGGAGTAGTAACGAAAATTTTATGGTTGGGTCACAGTATGAGGAACTGTATTTAAAAGGGCCAGAAGGTTGAGAACCACTGTCCTAGAGTCTTCATAAATTCTCCCTATTCATAGATTTCTACCCTTAACTTTATCTTTTTTATTCCTACGTTATTTTTATTTATTCTGTTGAGCTTTTCTTCTTTTTTTTTAACTTGGGCACATAATTATTTTCATCATTCCTCCCTTTCTAACAAATATTTAGGGCTATAAATTTCCCTTGTAAGTACAGACAGCATTAGCTGCATTCTATGGTTTTGATATGGTTTTATTTTTAACTTCTTCATAGTTTCTCCTTTTACCTCTAAGTGATTTAGGAATATTTAAAAAATATTTTTTAAAATTGATTTTTAGAGAGAGAGGAAGGGAGAGGAAAAGAGAAAGAGGAACATCGACGTGAGAGCAGAACATCAGTCTGCTGCCTTTTGCACGCCTCCTACCAGGGATTGAGCCCATAACCTGGTTATGTGTCCTCACCAGGAATCTAACCAGCAACCTTTTGGTGCACAGGATGACGCCCAGCCAACTGAGCTACACTGGTCAGGGCAATTTAGAAATATTTTTGAATTTCCAAATATATGGAATTTTTAATTTATACTTTCATAATTGACTTAATGTAATGGCATTGTGATCAGAGAACATAGCCTGTTTGATGACAGTTCCTTGAAATTTCTTGAGACCTGTTAGTACATGATCAGTATTTGTAAATATTCATGTGTGCTTGAGAAAAATATGTACTCTCCAATTAATGGGTAAGATGATATGCATATCACTGCTAAATCAACATTGCTAATTGTGTCCTTTGGGTAATCTGTACCTTACTAATCTTTTGTCTGCTTGACATACCAGTAATTGAGAAAAATATGGTGTTATTGGTCTTTTCCCTCTCTGAAGTTACAACAATTTTCACTATGCATGTATATTTTTTCAATTACATCACAAGTTTAGGAGTGTGCTTCTTCCTGATTAATTGAACCTTGTATTATATAGTTACCATCTTTACACCTAGTAATATTTTCGCCTTTAAGCTATTTTGTCTGACAATACTTAGCTGATCCAGCTTTCTTTTAGCAATTTGGTTTACGTTAGTCCCCTTGAGAGTCTTGGCTGATTGAGGGGCAGCAGCTTAGCTTCCTCACTTTGTAGGTAGCCCAAGTTTCAGTGTTTGTTATTGGCATCTGCTTTCAGGCCCATCCCGCCTTTTGTCACTCTCCAACCACAAGGTTATATTATTTGGGCTGAGGCATGAGACTGTAGACCTCTTGTGAGATCAGGGATCCTTCAAGGAATGTTTCTTATGTGGCATATGTTGTTTCTGTAATAACAGGGTCCCCTAGAGCATTTAGTCAGCCATAATACCAGGTGCGGAAACTTCTTGTATTCTCCTTGTTTCGTTTTTTTCCACAGTACTTAACGATATCTGATGTATTGTACATTTGTTTATTGCCTTTCTTTTCCCATTAGTGTGTAAGCTTTGTGAGGACAAGGATTTTTCCTGGTTTTGTTTACTGCTGTATCTCTAGCATCTAAACCACCTCCTGATACTTAGTATGTGCTCAGTCAATACTTGCTGAATAGATGACTATGGAGCAGGAGAAAGTGGTGTAAAAAAGCCATGCCAAGTATTTACCTTTTACCTTAATGCTCTGATTTGTTCCTCCATGACCATTGTCACAAGTTAGGGTGCCCTTACTTTTCCCTAGACCCGTGGTCAGCAAACTGCGGCTCGCGAGCTATATGTGGCTCTTTGGCCCCTTGAGTGTGGCTCTTCCACAAAATACCATGTGCGGGCGCACACGTACAGTGCGATTAAAACTTCGTGGCCCATGTGCAGAAGTCGGTATTTTGTGGAAGAGCCACACTCAAGGGGCCAAAGAGCCGCATGTGGCTTGCGAGCCAGTTTGCCAATCACTGCAGACTATTATAGCCCACTTCCGACTTGTCTCTCTGTCTGTACTTTGTGGTTTATCCATTCCTTCCAATTCATTCTTTGTATTGCTATCAGAGTTTTTTCCTAAATATAAATCTGATTACCTCACTAATCTGTCTTGGCTTAGCCCAGGGGTGGGCAACCTTTTTGTGAGTGCGTGCCAAAACCAGCAAAATCTCTGACTCAAAATTCTTCTGCGTGCCAACCCTAATTTTTTGAGAACATGTTACGCCTACTTGATATCTCTTAAGGTGTACGTATGTGAAGAACCTTGAAGAAATAATAAAATTCATTCGAGCGACAAAAACAGTATATGATGATGAAAAATACATTTATTTTTTAATGTATACATGTACACTTATAGTCCGACAGAAAACTTTATGACTCCGTTTGATATTATCAGTGGGACTTTTGCTGCTGCATCACTGATGACAGAGATTTTACATCAGGTTTATATTTCGTGACCTTCAGAGATATGCACCAGCTACTACTTTCATCCGTCAGGCTACTCTGATTAGGAGACTTAACAAAATTCATCACTGAGAACAAAGATTCACAAGCGTATGTGGATGAAACTAAAACACTGGTTGGATCTAGGAAGGCAGGGAGAGTTAAGACAGAGGCATAGAAATTGCTCTTCCCCTCTCGTCAATCCATGGCTGTGGTCTTTAAGATAACTTGTTATGTAAAATTATTTATTTATCTAAGATGCACCTACACTGAATTTATCTGAAAAGTAAAAAAGTCAATATTAAAGAAAAAATTGTAAATGGAAGATTATAAGAGAGGATTTCGCGTGCTAGCAAAAGTTACTGGTGTGCCATGTTTGGCACGCGTGCCAGGGGTTGCCCACCCCTGGCTTAGTCTATAGAATAAATTCTAGTTACTTTTTTCTTTTTTCATATATTTTTGATTCCAGAGAGGAAGAAAGCGTAAGAGAGAGATAGAAATCTCAATGATGAGAGTGCATCATCAATCAGCTGCCTTCTGCATGTCCCACACCAGGGATCGAGCGTGCAACCTGGGCAAATGGCTAGACCAGGAATTGAACCGTGCCCTCCTGGTTCACAGGTCAACGCTCAACCCCAGAGCCACACCGGCTGGGCTAAATTCCAGTTTATTTAATGTGGCATTTTATTTCCAACATTGAGCATTCTATGCTCTAGTCATAATAAAACACTTTAGGTTCTTTCAGTATGCCGTATCTGTGATTTTATGTGACCACACCCTTGCTTATAGGGCGTCCTGAGCCTGAAAAGTCATTCTTTTGTTTATGCTTATCAAAATTTTAGTCATCCTTAGTCACCTAAAACCATCTCCTTGCTAAAGACTAATATTCATTGAGAAGAATCATTCATTCCTGACATTTTATTTTGCTGTTTTGGTACTTTTCATAATATGTTGTATTCTAAAAAGATGTCTGTTTGTCTTCTCTTACTAGATTTTAAGCTCCTTGAGTCAAGAAGTTTTCTGAAAGTCTCCAATGCAATGTTTTATACATAACGGATCTTTGATAAATAGTTGTCAAGCTTGAATTTTGAACGTTCTGTTTTTGTCTGATGCTATTTTTCTCTTCCTGCTATGGTAAACCAATCTTGTCTCTTGTCTTCAGTTATCACACTCTAGTGACAATAACTTTCAAATCCAAATCTTCCTATTTTCACTTCCCTGGCTAGCCTGACTTAGGCATCTCACCTTCCTCAAACTCAATATGTCATCTCCTTCTCTTTGTTGTTCCCACTCCCAAACCAGTACTTCTCATAACTTTTCCAAAATAAAGGCACCATCATTCTTCCCAGTCAGATAAACTCAAAATCTTGGTGCAGTCTTTATCAACCTTTTTCTTAATTTTCTGACTTCAGCTAGTCAGAAAGTCCTGCTAATTTTAATTTCTTTTTTAAGATGTTACTCACCTCCGTAACTCCTCCATTTCACTGAGAAGACCTTGGAAATGGAGTTTACAGAGGAGACTTATTGTCTAAAGCAGTGATGGCGAACCTTTTGAGCTCGGCGTGTCAGCATTTTGAAAAACCCTAACTTAACTCTGGTGCGTGTCACATATAGAAATTTTTTGATATTTGCAGCCATAGTAAAACAAAGACTTATATTTTTGATATTTATTTTATATATTTAAATGCCATTTAACAAAGAAAAATCAACCAAAAAAATGAGTTCGCATGTCAACTCTGACATGCGTGTCATAGGTTCGCCATCACTGGTCTAAAGCCCTCTCTTAGCAGTTTCTGTTTCCAGATGTCTACAAATGAGGACGACTTAACAGATCGTGGATACGTTTGCAGCCTGCTCTTTTCTTTATGTAGCTTTGTATTAGCCTCGGTGTTTATTTTCTTACATCTTGAAATTATATTTTGAATTTCTCACTTTTGCATGAACTATAGCTGAAGCCATGTATGAATTTTAATGGAATCTGTTGAATGTTGATCATATTTTCTTACAGTAGTTTAGAAATATTTAGCAAGGAATATTCCATGTGATATGTTGAGGTTTGAAATTTTATATAAATTTTTCAACCACAAAAACTGTTGTGGGCAGCAAGCAGTTATAATTTGTACAGGTTTTTACATTATTATTACTTATTATTTCTGTGGGACAAATAGAAATGACAGCTTTAATTCATTTGTAATTATTTGTATGATATAATTTTGAAAATAAGATATTTCCATAGCAAGGTTGTTTATGGAAAGTTAGGGCTGACTAACTTTAAACATGTCAAATGCTTTAACTATGTAGAAGGTACTTAATATTTGATTATAGTTATGTTGAAAATACAGAATATTATAAGAGCTTTTTCACATTATAAGAACTTTTTTCCATTTTAGAGCATGTCAAAAGAATTAGCATAGTAATTTGAATGCTCTATTTTTATTTCTAGAAACCAGCAAATATCCTAGTAATGGGAGAAGGTCCTGAGAGGGGGAGAGTCAAAATAGGTAGGTAATTATTTCTAAAATAATTTATTAAGAAACTGAAGTGACTGCAAAGATGATTTCCCTTTTTAATACTCTTATTTAAGTAGTTAACTTAAAAATTACTTTCTCATATTTTTAGAAAAGATATTAGGAAATATAGATAGATAGTTTATAAAACCCCTCAGGTTGCCCTAGCCTGTTTGGCTCAGTGGATAGAGCGTTGGCCTGTGGACTGAAGGATCCCAGGTTCGATTCTGGTCAAGGGCATATGCCTGGGTTGCAGGCTCAATCCCCAGTAGGGGACATGCAGGAGGCAACTGATTGATGATTCTCTCTATTATTGATGTTTCTATCTCTCTCTCCCTCCCTTTCTGAAATCAATAAAAATATATATTTTAAAAAAACCCTCAGGTTTATTCCCAAAACAAGGTTTCATAATTCTAAACTGAGGCAAGCAAGCCCACAAAAATTCATTCCCAATCAAAATCCCTAGCATGTGTTTATGTCACTGTTACTGTCCTGCACAGTCACCTTAAACATAATCCCCCAAAATGTTACTTTTGTCTCAGCTTTACCAAATGTTCTTTCCTTAAATACATCCCTCCCACTCTCACCTAATACATATAGAGCTTCACAGATATCTTTCCCCTGCCCCACGTATGTCCTGTGCCAGGTACCAACATATCTTTTCCAAATGAATATATAAGTTTATAGACCCTCTTACTTGCTAATCTTAGATTAAGGCACTGAAAAGAGTCTTATCTGTATATTAAAATTTCCTTTTCAACCCTGAAGGATTCATTTATACCTGACAATATTTGGGTAGAAAATTAGCTAAGAAATGCTTTATTTTAATTTCTTTTACTAGAAATTACGTTTATTGAATGTTCAGTGCTTTTTAGAAGGATTTCAAAATAAATTTTGTTTCATCAACCTGTTGTCTTTGCTGTTAGACTATATCATGATCGGGGTGGTGCAAAGTTATGCTAACTTAACCTCCTACAAATTCATTCTGTTCTACTTCAACTGAGCCACCCCTGCTGCTTGGTCTTCTACTTCTTCAGTTAATACATCAGCCCAGGCCCTGAAGAAGTTGTTCTAAACCAACTTCCCTTTCTTTAAACCTCTATTCTGAGATTTCTGAGATTCAGTCATTTAGTTTTGTTGATATTAATTAAGAACCAGGTCACTGCTTTCCTTCCCTTTCCCCTTCTCCTTCCTGCCCCATCACCTTTACACCACTCCTCACTTGTTTCTCCCTCACTCTTAACGTTTTTTTTCTTATAGGCATGTATTGAGTACCTACTCTTGCTAGACACTGGTGAAAGTGGAGATAAAGGATGGTTCTTTCCCATGAGAGACAGTAAAATAAACAGTTTACTATCCAGATTGAGAGATACTGCCATATGTTAGTTATTTCGTTATTTTATACAACCATCTGTATGGCAGATATTGTAGATAAGGAGAGCTGGATTTAAGAGGTTGTAGCTTGTTCAGCCTTTCAAAGGAAGGACTTCGAATTCCAAGTCCAGAGTCTCTTTCCCTACCAACATTGCTACCTAGTGACAGCAGAGCTACCTAGTGTGACCTCATCAACCACTTTTTGTCAGCACAGCCCTGCCTTTGAAACTGTCAGAGAAGGAATGACTCTTCCCTCCGAAGGCCCATCTAGTGCCCTTCTTAGCTTCAATAATCTTCCTGCTATCCTTTAGCTCCTTAGATTATGGGATCTCCAGTCTCTCCTTCTCAAGTTTCTCCTCTTCACCTTTAAACATTCACGGTCCTCTTCCCAACTTTAAAAATAAATCTTGTCCTATCCATTTTGTTTTCTGTACCATTTGTTCTGTGTCCCCTTCCCCCCACCTTGTTCCTTTACTTCTAGAACACATATTCACCCATTGGTTCCACTAAAGCTGATTTGTTATAATCTGGCCTCTTAATTCCATTCCTCAATTGAAACTGCTCTCTAAAAAGACACCTTTGAATTTTGTCTTACCAAATCTAGTCACCGCTTTCCTTTACTGCCTTAGCTATTTGTTCTCCTAACCAGTTTGGCCTGGAGACATTTTCTTGGTCTATATGGCATCATATAAGTCTGTTTTTCTATATACCACTTTTGCTGTTACTTCTGTATTTGGTTCATTTTGCCTCTTCTATTAACCTTTTGTTTCAAGACACCCTGGGCACTGGCTTTGGACATGGCCTCCCTCTTCTACAGTTACTTCTTTAGGGAATTATTCTAAAGATCTGGATCTCAGATTCCATTCTCTCATCTTAGCTGAATTCTTATCTCTATTTGTTTTCTATTGGCAACCTACACGCCATTATCCCAAACCAAATTCATCATCATCTTCTTATACTTTGCCTTGTTTGTACCTGTCATCACATTGAGCACAGTCACCCAAACTTAACGTTTCCTCCTTACTGCTCCCAAATAGCTCTACTGTTTCTCAACATAAAATTCTGTATCCTAGCTTTACCATTAAGAGTTTTAGGATTGAAATTCTATCCAAGATTAAGGATAAAACCAGGGATAAAAATTAATAAAAAAGGTCAAGTAAACAATCTAGTTGATAAATTGCTTTAAATTTTAATAACACATTATTTAAAAAAAATTAGTAATACTCTGATTCCTATGTTTAACACTATAATACAGCTCTTTTTGGCCAAAAATAAAAGCGTAGTCAAATGGAAACACATTGTGCCCTTCCCTGTATCTGAACCTTTCCCTCCTCAGCAACCTAAAGACTTCCCCAGCCTTACCTAAAATACTTATTGTCCTCTTTACTGTTCACAAATGTTCTTCCTTCAGCACCCAGCTCAAGTTCTACTTTCAGTTTAGTTCACTTGTACAAATGTTTATCAAACACTGTTCCAGAGAAAACCATGGAGACCTAACGCTCTTCTTTCACGAGACTTACAGTCCAGTAGCAATGTTCCTTTTCTTACAGTACTTACCCTCTGCATTTTGTTATCTCACTGTCATGTAAGCTCCTTGGTGGTAGACAATGTCTTTTGCTGTTTTTCTATAATTTTATACTACCTAATTAGCACCCACACCAAAATTTTACTACTGATGCCAACTGAATTGGAAATTTCATTCATATCTAATCTTAGGAAAATAACTGTTAGTAATGTTTAAGCTTGTAACCTTTTGTCTAAATTAGTAAGTATTTGAAAAACGGTTTAAAACTCCTTTGATTGAAATATTAATGTTTATTGCATGTAACATTATTATATTTAAAATCATTTTTCTTGAAATATTAATGTTTATTGCATGTAAATGGCTAATTATTTTGTATCTACAATCTGGTAGTAAAAAAATAAAATAAAATAAAAAAAACTCTTTGAAGTTCATACAATAGGAAGAGATTGTTTCCAGGAATGTATATTGTGTCCTCTGGTCTTTCATTTGACAGTGAATAGATGTGGCTTACAAAAAATTAAGGAAGTAGAAAACAAGGGGAGAGAAAACTGGCTTTAGCCTTTACCTCAAAACAAATGTTTCTCAGTGGGTGGAACAGCATTCTATCAGATTACTTTGCCATCAACAACAGGCAGCATCTGTTAAATTTATAAAGCAGTGCTTTGAAGTAGGCCTAATATTGGTAGAATGGTTTGAATATTTTTGTTTGCTATAGGAAAATTTAGTTAAGGAAGAGTAGGCTTTAGCACAGGCTTCCTTGGACAGCTTTGTTTTTTAAGACCTGGTTTCTTCAAAACATTTCCAGAAAGTCTTATAAATTATTCAAACTCTCAAGAAATAATATCACTGTAAATTAAAGTTTTAATGTATGTTATATCATAGCATTTGTTTTAGATTAAATGAGTCTCTGCAGTTGAAATTTCATGTACTAATTGTGCATTTTATAGTACATTGGGGCCCCTTATAATACAAATATACTGTGTATATTATGTATTTCAAATTACAGAGGTTTATAATTTTTGTGATTTTGCCTTTGTGACATGCAATTATAACTGTAATATTATAATTTATTGGCTGTCAGATCAGTGGTTAAGAATGTAGCTGCTAGATTATAATATGATTTTTGTTTGCGTACTGGCATCTTTATTTAGTATCTTTATGACCATGGGCAAGTCATTTAACTGCTTCAGGCCTTAGACTCTTTATCTCAGAAGTAGGGACCAAAACACTTATTAAACCAGTGTTCTTATGAGGATTAAATGAAGTGATATATGATGTATCTGAAAATGGTTTGTAAAACTCTAAAGTGTTTTGTAGATGTAAGGTATTTGTTGTTTATGAAATCTTAAGAAAATTAGATGGTCCCCAGGACCTTCTTTAGTAATAAATATTCTTTTCACTGCTTTTGTACTCCTCTAATAGTCAAATCAGTTAGCTTTGATACAGATCTTTGTTAAATGATGAATTACAACAAATTATCTCATACATTCTCTACATGTTCTTGGAAACATGTATGTGATGTAGTGGTCACTGTACAAAACTGGCTCTCTAGCGGGGGAAGCCCCAATTTGTAGCATTTGCTGTTTTCCATGATGTAAATATTCTCACCACAGCCAATTTCAAGCACCAACATGATGTCACTGAACTCAGAGTTGAGACTAGATATGTACCAGTCAGCTCTCATGAGTCCAAAAGAACTGATTCTAGCACACACTGACCTAAGATTTAGTCCATGTTTAGTCTTACAGAAGTGATAATTAATCATTGAAACTTAGATTATCTTTCAAATTGTATTTTGATCTTTCAATTTAAAAATCTAAGAATATTATTGTGGCTGTCTCTGAAAGACAGGAATTTGAAACCAGACCTGGTTCTCATTCTGACTCTGTACTTAGTAGTTCTGTGACCTTGGGCAAGTCAGAGTATCTTTAAGCCTCAGTTTCTTCATCAGATACTATCACAATAATAGTATCTAGCTCAGAAGGGGAGATCTGGTGCCTGGTACAGACCACGGGTTGAAAATGGAGGAAAAGGCTTGCTGTATAAGGGTGCTAACTATTGTCATCAACTTTGAATGCTTTTAATATCATGCCAAACTGAGTTTCATGTTAACTTATTTTATTTTTTAGCTGACATGGGTTTTGCCAGATTATTCAATTCTCCTCTAAAGCCACTAGCAGATTTGGATCCAGTAGTTGTGACTTTTTGGTATCGGGCTCCGGAACTTTTGCTTGGTGCAAGGCATTATACAAAAGCCATTGGTAAGTTAGTCTAAAATGATTTAATTACTTGGCATTGAATTATCCTAAATATCAAATGGTATAATAATGAAACTGCTTTGTAAAAACCATTTTCTGTCTCTTTGTGAAAGTCCTGTTGTCTTCTGTACTCCTAGATTTTACAATCTGTTGGATTTGGATTTTTAACTGTATAGGAGAAAATGGTTCTTTTAAAAGAAGAAAGCATTTTCTTTCAGCGAATAGAGGTATCTGGTCCATTGAGTTGCTATGGAAATAATAACATGTAAATTTTATTTTGCACTCGCCTACTATTGGTCAGAAGAACTGGAGAGAGGTTTAGAATTGTTTCTTCACAAACAGAAACACAGGAGTAGTGGGGTGCTGGAGGAGCCCCCTTCTATCTGGGGAAAAGTTAATCAGTCTTTCCTAAGCAAGAAACTATGACTAACCTTTCTCTCTTGCCATTACAGTTATCAGAATGGTAGTTTCTCCATTAAGGTAGAAAATAGACAGACTCTGGGTAGATTAGCTCTGCTCAGCATTTTGCCATCTCTCCAGGTAAAAAAAGAAACAACTGAGTAGGAAAATCTGTTATAAACATACTCTCTGTAGGATTTAAAGTTGGCTTTAGAACAGAAGCATCAGAGATTTTGCTACCTGGTCACTATATTGTTCTCAGAGGATCCAGCTGCAAACCAAGGGAGTTAAGAAGAGGAGTCTTCCTCAAATCTAGAGATTTCTTTAAAAGAGGTAAAAAGAGAGGATAGGGAGGGAGTATATTTCTTTAGATTTTCCTTTTACAGACAAGTAAGCACAATCCTTTCTGTTAAGCGTATGAAAAACTTGGTGATACCCAAAGAAATACAAAGCAAGTTTTTACATTTGGAAGATTAGACTGATAATTAACCTATTCATCGTAAAAAGGGAAACAAAAATTTTAATATAGTAATGTCCTCATTCATCGGGAGATCTGACTTTTGCAAATTCAGACACCCACAACACATTTATACTTTGTCCGGGGTTGTTACACTAGCACAGTGCTAACATATTGTAATACTTCCTAAATACTGCTGAAGGGTTTTATTAAATGAGTAAAAGAGCCCATGAGTAACCTTAGCCCTGTGAGGTAAACCAGTATGTATTTGATAGTTAGAAGAGTGTAGACCCTTCCCGTGGCAGCTGAGCCCATAGCAAAGCTCTGTTTCAGAGGTGTCAAGGCCACACTGCTAGCAGCTGACAGTGGCAGTTCTGTGAAGGGTGAAGAAAGAACTACCAAAAGCAAATGGAAGGAATAGAGTGGTTCTAAGAATGAGGAGTTAAAATCAGTGCCTGACTCTACTCAGTGAGTGACTTTGACCATAGGTCTGTGTTTTTAGACTTTTAGGCTTATGTTTGCTTTTTCTGTTATTGGATCTCTTACTATGGAGAACAGTAAATCTCTTAGGCAACCACAGAAGGCACCAGAGGATAAGAAGAGACTGAAAGTGAGCCAGAGAAGGAGGGAGTGTTAGTTGGAAGTAACAGGTATGCTTTAGAACATAATTGAATGTGAGATAACCCAGGGCTCGGGTAGGGATAAAGGATGTGATAACAGTAGAAATATGTATGTGTTGGACTCTTAGCAAGCACTGATACAATCTATATCTAAAAGGGAGATTCCCAGTAAGAAAAGGCAAATTCAGCCAAAATCCTCTGTTAAACTAAATGAGCCCCCACCAAACTCTACCATATTCTCAGAGATTCTTATACAAAATCCATGGTAAGGCCAGGCCCATTTAAAAAATTCTCTCTCTCTCTCTCTCTCTCTCTCTCTCTCTCTCTCTCTCTCTCTCTCTCTCGGCCCGGTGCATGAAATTTGTGTACTCGGGAGGGGGGCCCTCAGCCCAGCCTGCGCCCTCTAGCTGTCCAGGAGCCCTTGGGGGATGCCCGACTGACAGCTTAGGCCCGCTCACCCCAGGGGGAGCGGGCCTAAGCCAGCAGTCGGACATCCTTAGCGCTGCCGTAGAGGTGGGAGAGGCTCCTGCCACTGCTGCTGCACTCGCCAGCCATAAGCCTGGCTCAGGGCTTTTGGCTGAGTAGCACTCCCCCTGTAGGAGTGCACTGATGACCAGGGGGCAGTTCCTGCATTGAGCATCTGCCCCCTGGTGGTCAGTGCGCGTCACAGTGACCGCTTGTTCCACCATTTGGTCAATTTGCACATTAGTCTTCTTTATATTGGATATATGTATTTCAGAGAGGAAGGGAGAGAGAATCATTGATCAGCTGCCTCCTGCACACCCCCTACTGGGGAGTGATTGTGCCTACAACCTGGGCATGTACCCTGACTGGGAATCAAACTGTGATCTCCTGGTTTATAGATTGATGTTCAACCACTGAGACACGCCGGCCCGGCAAGGCCCATTTTTAACATGTACCATTAGGTGATTCTATTGTATGTGGTCCACACACTTTGAGAAACAGTTTTATGAATATTTTATAATTAAATGTTTTGCTTTTAAAATCAAAGTAGATGTGTTTTTTGAGAAATAAAGATAATTTTTAAAAAATATGTCTTTATTGATTTGCGAGTGAGAGGAAGGGAGAGGCATAGAGAGAAACTGTCTACATTATTTTTTAAAAATATTTATTAATGCCGAAACCGGTTTGGCTCAGTGGATAGAGCGTCGGCCTGCGGACTGAAAGGTCCCAGGTTCGATTCCGGTCAAGGGCATGTACCTGGGTTGCGGGCACATCCCCAGTGGGGAGTGTGCAGGAGGCAGCTGGTCGATGTTTCTCTCTCATCGATGTTTCTAACTCTCTATCTCTCTCCTTTCCTCTCTGTAAAAACTCAATAAAATATATTTAAAAAAAAAAATATTTATTAATATATTTGACAAAGCATTGTGAATATAATCTCTGAATCTGAATTACAGTTTTTCAATCTATAAAATCAAAATAAGTGGTGGTTTGAAATAGTTAATAAAACTTTGAAAGATGCCTAACTTTATCCTGAGGTATTGGAGGATTGAGGAAACATCTAAGTCAGGGGTAGGGAACCTGTGTTCTGTCAAGGGCCATTTGGGTATCAGCTGATAAATTAGCCTGCTATTTTGGTCAAACATTTAATTAACTCACACTTAATGCCTTGTAAGTGCCAGACCAAATTTGCAGGCCTTATAGAGCCTTGGACTGGACATTCCCCACCCCTAAGTGAGTGTATTTAGATAACATCTCTCTCTACTGGTGTCTGTCTACCTCTATATTTGTCAACTTCTGAACCTTACAATTTGTTGAAAAACTGAAGTTGGTAGCCTTTCAGCCAAAAGTTGAGTTTTTTCCAAATAATTTTATGTGGTATTACTGTTGGAATCAGACATTCTGCTCTATAGTTATGTATTGCTTTAAAGAATGTATTGCTATACCTGATGGTGATATTGTTTTAGTCTATCAGATCTTGAGTAATAGATTATCAGTTGAATGCTTTAGTAATTGAATTACTAATAGTGGTTAGGAAGACTTTTGCCTATATATAAAGTAAATTCATTGCTTATTAAATTGAGTTTCCTAAGCTTATCTTCATCAGGAAATACACAGGTAAATGTTTTTTTATTTGGTTTTCAATGCGTTGTGTGATAATCATCTGTTCATGTCTTCTTAAGACACTGTATTTTGTATATTGCTTTACTGAAAAGTATTTTTATGTGTAGGTTGTGATTATACCAGGAATTATAACCAAAGACGTATAATAAATGTGTACAAAAACTTGTTTTCCTTTCTTTGTAGATATATGGGCAATAGGTTGCATATTTGCTGAATTGTTGACTTCAGAGCCCATTTTTCACTGTCGTCAGGAAGATATAAAAACAAGCAATCCCTTTCATCATGATCAACTCGATCGGATATTTAGTGTCATGGGATTTCCTGCAGGTAATTTATTTTCTTTTTCAAAATATTTAGTCCTATTTCAAAATCATTTCTTTTCAAAAGCATATTTTTAAGTATTATATATATATATTAAGCTAAAGTAACTAGGAGATTATTTTTTAAAAATAACACATTATTTCCTATAACAACATTCAATATTTTTTTTGTAAGATAAAGACTGGGAAGATATTAGAAAGATGCCAGAATACCCCACACTTCAAAAGGACTTTAGAAGAACAACGTAAGTAACTCCATTTAAATAGAAGCAGCCATTTCATTGGGAATATTTAATATTTTTAAAAAAACAGATACAGATTATTTAAACTAGAAACCTAGATTTTTTTAAAATATTCTTTATGCCTATGATTTAAAGAAGATATTACAGATGTTCACATATATGGTAGGCTTACGCTGTATTATTTTAAAACTTCTAAGAATTTAAGGGGCAATAGATAGTTTAAATGTCTCCTCTGTTTTAGCAGGATAAAGGGCTCAGTTCAGGGCCACAACTATGATTTTTATCTTTCTCTGAGTAATGACTGGTGACCGAAATGCTGGGCTAGCTGCCAAGATGACAGAGGAAGAACACATGGCAGGGATCTGAGTAACTGGCGGGACATTTATGTTGAGCAGAAACAAGAGGAGGGGAAAGGTGGCATGAGAGGACTTTATTATAAGTATATATGCTCAGAGGAAAAGGTGAAGGAGGCTCCCTTTTAGGCAACTTAATGGAAAATTTTCAGGACAGGAGAGCTTGCAGCGGTTTTCAACCTATGGGTCGCGAACAATGAAAATACATCCCGCATATCAGATATTTACATTACGATTCATAACAGTAGCAAAATTACAGTTATGAACTAGCAACGAAAATAATTTTATGGTTGGGGGTCACCACAACATGAGGAACTGTATTAAAGGGTTGCGGCATTAGGAAGGTTGAGAACCACTGGCTTATAGGAACAAAAGCAGACATCATAAATAGAAGTAGAGAGTGGCACTCACCATTTTTGGCCCCTCTGTTACACAGTCCTTGGTAGGTCTTTTGCCTCTTCCTATCTCTAAAAACACACACACACATACACATACAAACTCTATGGTTAGATGCCATTGTCAGACTCAAGGACCTCTTTCATTCTTGTCAAGGGGAGTATTGACCTCCTCTCCTTTCATACAAATGGCACCTCTTAAAGATAGCCTTGATATTGTTCAAGGTTTTCTCTTCTCGCCCTAGACATTTTCCCAGGAAGTCTCCATGATCCTAATGGCCACAATTTACTGTCAGTTATGCTGATAATTCCCAATTAATATATCCTACTCAGATTTCTTTTCCAAGTTTCAGACCCATTTATCTAGTTGTCTCATGGAACTCAATTTCAGTGTCCACAAATACTTCAGTTAAATGTCCCAAACTGAATTCATCATTTATCCTCCTAAACCTCTCCTCTGCTTTATTTCCTCCCTACTTATGTATCTTATGATACTACTCAGTGTACATGATTCACCTAATTATTGGAGCCAAAAGCATCTCACTCTCTTCTATTTTGCTCCCCAGTGTCCAAACAGTAAATCTAGTCAGTTCTTTGTTCTAAATATCCTCTGAATCATTGTATTTCTCTCCATTCACCCTGCCACTATTAAAATGCAGACCACCACTGTCTCACCCAGAATCTTGAAATGGCCTCCTAAGTGGTATTTCTACCTCCAGTCTTCATTCCAACTCACTGTCTATACTGCAATCATTCCAAAAGCAGATTTGATCATGTCAGTCTTCTAGTTGCTCTTCAGTCACCATTGCTCTGAAATTCCTTAATACAGCTAACAAAAGCTTGGCTTCTGCATCACCAAATTCAGCTCATAAACCATTCTTCACTTTGTGTTCTATACCCTAGACATCGTGAATTTTTTTTAAAAAAATGTATTTTTATTGATTTCAGAGAGGAAGGGAGAGGAAGAGAGAGATCGAAACATCAGTGATGAGAGAGAATCATTGATTGGCTGCCTCCTGCACGCCCCCCACCGGGGATCGAGCCCGCAAACCAGGCACATGACCTAAACAGGAATTTAACTATGACCTCCTGGTTTGTAGGTCAACACCCAACCCCTGAGCCATGCCAGCCAGGCAGAATCTATATTTCTAATGTAGGCTCTCAGGTGCCCATGCTGCAGATCTGGAGGCCAGGTTTGTGTAGCAGGGTCCTAGAGCACATAAAAAGGGTTTTGAAATGTACATATGCTTTGACCAAATAATTCCAAGAATTTGTTCTGTGGAAGCAATTTGAGCAGCTAATTCAGTACTTACTATGTGCCTGGCATGTCCTATACCCTTTACCTACATTTTCTCATATGATCGTTATACCAACTCCGTAATGTAGGTATAATTATAATCCTCACTTTCAAATGAGGAATCTAAGCCTTTCATAGTGCTAACTACCCAAGATCACGCAATAGTAAATGACAGGGTCCAGAAGGCGTCTCTAATTCTCACCTGCTCTGCAGTTATTGTCTCCCTACAGTGTGTACCAGATTTACCTACAAGGTGAATAATAACTATTGTGAAACACATTAGTAACAGTAGGAGATAGGCAACCACTACATAATAAGTTTAAAGGACATTTGACAAGGAAAAATGCTTATAAAACAATATTAAGTGAAAAAAGGGCAATTTATACAGTATGATCCCAGTTTTATAAAAACAAAACAAAAATCCCTCAGTGTTTGTATAATGTGTGTGTGTGTGTGTGTGTGTGTGTGTGTGTATAATGTCAGGAAATTATCAAAATCTTGACAGTGGTTCTTTATCACTGAATGGCTTGATTATGAGTGATTTCAATTTTCTTCTTTATACTCTACTATATTCTCTAAATTTTCTGCCATGAACATATATTTTCTATTTTTTACCCATTTAAATTTGAAATATTTCATATTTAGGAAAGAATGTATATGATACATATATAGTTTACTTAGAATAATAAATGAATACCCTTCTACCTCACCTCTCAACCAAAAGAAATAGAACATTACTAAGATTACAGAAGTACTCTATGTACCCTCCTTTCCTGTTCATGTCCCTCCCAAAGGGTAGCCCCTGTTCTGAATTTGTATTTATCATTCTTCATTTTTCATTATAGTTTTACTACAAATAAATTATTGTTCAGTTTAATGTATCTTTGAACTTTTTATATAAATAGTATTATACTTCTGCACTTTGTTTTCCCTCATTCAACCTCTGTATTCATTTTTACTATTGTTAGCATTCTATTATGTCAACACATAACAATTTAATTACCTATTCTTTAGTAGATATACATTTGGATTGTTTACAGTTTATTCTATTACCAAAATGCTGCCAAGAACATTTATTGTGTATGTATCCTGTTATGCATGTGCAAAAATCTCTCTTAGACTAGAGTATGTACCTAGGAAAAGAATTGCTGGGTCATAGGATATTCACATTTTCAACTCTAATGGTTAATGCATAATTATTTTCCAAAGTGATTGTAAAAATGTAAACTCTTGCATGCGGTGTGTAACACTTCCTATTTCTTCACACATTTACCAATGTTTAGTTGTGTATTCCTTTTTAATCAGAAAAAACAATGGCGTAAACTTATACCTTATAGGAAAAATCAGTCTTAGAGCTTTCCATTATATGAATGGTGTAAGTGTTCCCAATGATGTTTGATTGTTATGTTCTTACAGATATGCCAACAGTAGCCTCATAAAGTACATGGAAAAACACAAGGTCAAGCCTGACAGCAAAGTGTTCCTCTTGGTAGGTGCATCTCCCCCAGATTGGGAAGTCAGAACCTTAGTGCAGCTCTCACCTCATCCCATTTCCCATGGAATTGTCCCAGCTGTTCCTTCTCTTTAGAAGGAAAAGAAATCAGTGGATGCTGGAGCAAATTAAATATTTTTCTTGGGAGATGTTATCCATGACTTTTAGCCTTATTTTCCCCCCAATAATTTTATCAGCAGAAAAAGAATTAAATTCTGTAACTGCTTTAATGCTAATGATTTTTGCCAATTCCACATAAATGTGTGTAGTGTGCTAATCATGCAGTAAGTGAGCTGTACAAAATGGCATTTGATATTAATCCCGTTAGACAGTAATTTAAAAGTCAAAACTGACTTGTAAACAACTTTTTCATGTGTTATCACTCCCTAGCTTCAGAAACTCCTCACTATGGATCCAACGAAGAGAATCACCTCCGAACAAGCTCTGCAGGACCCCTATTTCCAGGAGGACCCCCTGCCCACCTTGGAGTATGTGTCCGACCTTTTCTGTGTCTTTTGCTCCCGGTCGAGGGTGTCGGGTAGTGGCTGAAAGCAAGAGAGCACTTGTTCGGAAGTATTTTACTGTCTTCATTAATGCTACTTTGGAGAAAAATACTCACTTGTATTTTGAAGGAAGCAAAGCTGTAGAGAGGTGTGAATGAAAAGACGTATTTTAGGAATGACGATTAAGACAGATGGGACTTTTATAGAAGGTCTGTCAGAACAGTTTAAACGGAACCAGTGGGGAACTGAGAAGTTAAAATTCAGTGTGTCTCCATCCTTGGTTATACCCACGTATATGGTTGTGATTAGGTTTGTTAGAGGTGCAGCTTTTCTTAAAAGAAAAGTTATTTTCTTTGTTGAAGCAAATACAAATTCAGTTATTATTAGTGCCAATGAAGTTTGTGTGGAGAAATTCTGTCATATGTCAACTCCCTAACAGCAGCTAAGATTTGGTATTGAACATGGCAACGTGTAAAATTAAGACAACAAATTGTTCTTTAATGCTTAAATTAAGTTGTGATGGGAGACATCCAACAAGCACCAATCACAGATGAAGAATAGGAAATACGTTGAGAAAAAAGTGGAATTTTAAATTAACAAGGTCAGTGATATCATAGCTTTTCGGTCATGACATTTCTTTCTTTATAATGATTTTTAGTGTGTTTGCTGGCTGCCAGATTCCATACCCCAAACGAGAATTCCTAAATGAAGATGAACCTGAAGAGAAAGGCGATAAGGTATGAACTGCACAGTACATTTTCACTTCCAGAGGGTAAGGAGGCAAAAGGAGAACATAGGGAAGTATAATTTAATAATCCCTATGTATTTAACCATCTTTTATTTAATTAAACCTGTATTTATGTAGGCTGCTTTGAAATTTGAAATGTAATAAGCTTACAGATGGATGACCTTCCTGATTTGTTTTATAGCCTACTAGAGGCCCGGTACACAAATTCGGGGTGGGGAGGCTGATCGAGGGTGGGACGGGGGGCGGGGGGGGCTGGTGGGGTAGGAGGGCCCCACCCCCTGGTCAAACTCCCTGTTGAGGGGACAGTTTGCATATTAGGCTTTTATTATATAGGATTTTATTCCCTGACTCGTCATTCTTGCTTTTTGTTTGTTCAGCATTATTACCATCACCTTATGCAGGCTGCTTTTCAAAGCATCATTCTGTTCTTGATATACTTGGAGATATAAGGCCCCTTCCCACACCCCTGTACCTGAAAATTACTCTCGAAAGACTATTGGAGCTGTTTTAATGAGGGCAGAACTATTTCCTATGTGCCTTTGGTCTTCAGTGGGATGTCTGTGTCTGGTTGGAGGATTACTATGCCATTGAATGGACTTCAGAGAATGAGTCCCATTCAGGGCCCAGCACGTTGACCTTTGGGGATGCTGTAGTCCTTGGCTGCTCCATTTTCCAGCCATTCCAGCCACTTTGGTGTCCCACATAGGTCGCCCTGCATGTTGGCTCAGCACATCAAGTATTGAAAGACATTTCCTGTTAATGTAGTTCCAAACCAAGCTTGCTTTTTTTCCCTTCCAAGAATCAGCAACAGCAACAGAACCAACATCAGCAGCCCACGGTCCCTCCAGCACAGACAGCAGCCCCTCCGCAGGCGCCCCCTCAGCAGCAGAGCAGCACCCAGACCAACGGGACTGCAGGAGGGGCCGGGGCCGGGGCCGGGGGCACCGCAGCAGGGCTGCAGCACAGCCAGGACTCCGGCCTCAACCAGGTGCCTCCCAGCAAGAAGCCACGGCTGGGGCCTTCAGGCGCAAACTCAGGCGGGCCTGTCATGCCATCAGATTATCAGGTATTCCCCTGAATTTTGTACTTTTAATGTTTATACATTTTTATTAAATCAATGCTTTTAGAATTAAGTAGCACTTAATGCTAAAGTTTGTACAAACTGTACAATCCTGTTTCTACGGCATTATGAAAATGAATATCTTTGTTGTATTTTATGTAATTGCAAGATATTTCTCTCTTGACTTGTTTATCCTGACACCCCAAGGAGGGAAGCTGAGGCAGGCCCTTTCCTCCTCAAAGAAAATTTCTTCTTTTGCACAAACAGCTGCCTTTCAGCTTTGGACCAGAAAAAGATACCTAGATAAGCAATTGAAAAGGGAGAAGAGTGGTAGCATATTTTGGACAAAATAGCTATATACCAGAAAGATTTGCTGTCACTGGAAGAAAATAGTAAATAGCCACATAAACATAGAAGAGAAAAGGATTAAAATTGAAATTTCTCAGAAATAACCATTAAATCTCACTAGAAATAATTTTGAGACTAGAAAATACTTTTAAAGTACTTTGATAAAAAGAGAATTATAATTGTAATACAAATTCTGGAAATTAAAGAAAAATTAAAGGTTTGGTATTTGGGGAGAGAGGTAAAAATACTTGTGAAAACTGCAGGAATCTTGTTTTCAAGGTAGCAACAAGCTAAGAAAAGGTCTAAGAAAATGAGAAGAAAAACTTAAATGAAATGTAGAAAGAAAAATGGTATAGAACCATGTCCCTTGGGAAACTGGTGGAGGAGGAGCAGTTAGGTTAGAGATAATAGAAAACAAAACCACAGCAAGGGAGCCATAAACTCACTGGTACGGAGCTGGAATTGAGAAAAACATTAACAGGAAAGATATAGTAAGTAGCTGCCCAAACAGGCTTTCCATTTTGAACATCTTACAGAATGAAATGTATTTTCTCGCACAACTGCGTCTCTGAAAACCTCTCTTGGAAGATGCCCTACAAGCAGAGGGGATAGAACAGCACTGCCATTTGGTTCCAGTTAAACTAGTCAAGGTTACCGTTTGATCCTCTAAAAACAGCAGGTCATGAACCTCTTTGAATTTTCTCATAAATTCAGATTCCCCCCCCCCAACATTGGTTTATTCTTATCATATGAGCAATAAACCTTTACTATATACTGGCTTATCTTTGTGTCTCTGATAGTATTTGTTAAGGTAAGAAACATTTAAATCTGTAAAAAAAAAATTGTGAGTTTATTTGAGCCAAACTGTCAACAATTGCTGGGAAACAGAATTTCCGGGAGAATGGCGGTTTTTCACCTAGTTTTATAAATTACCATCAAAGGAGGATATAAAATCTGCTGGTGATCGATTAGAGGTGGGAGATAGCAAAGCGGGGAAACTTCTGGGATTGGGTAAAAAGTAAAATGATAGACACACGCTTCTTTTACATAGGTGGGTACAGGATAGTTATCAATCAACAATTAAACACGATAACAGTAACAATGAGGGAATTTGTGGTCTTTATCCTGGCACTTTGGTTTTGCCCTGAGGGGTGGGGGTGGGTGGGAAGTTGCAAGGTACCTTGATATTCCAAAGGTATGTAATCATAGATGCAAAAAGACAGTAGGCTCAGTTAAGATAAAAGTTGATCTTTGTCAGGGAAAATATTTGCCTAAGACAAGATTATCCACAATAGACTGCTTTTTAATTTAAAAAGTTTTAATTTCAGACCATCCTTTGTGGTTACTTTAGGTCTGTGAGTTTGCAAGGCCGCCACACAGGCCTTCTCTGAGTTAGGTTAGCATGTGGCCCCTTTTTGCCTACATATTATAATAACCTGATTATAGACAATTGTGGACAGATTACTTTAAAAATTGTTTTTAATTTATTTATTAATTTTAGAGAAAAAAAGAGTGAGAGAGAGAAACATCGACTTGTTATGCCACTTATTTATATATTCATTGGTTGATTCTTGTGCATGCCCTGACTGGGGATCAAACCCGCAACCTTGGTGTATTGAAATGATGCTCCAACCATCTGAGCTACCTGGTCAGGATCTTAATTACTGTTTTTATTCCTTTCAAACTGAAGAGCTCTTCAAAATCTTTTTCTTTGTCCATCTTGTGCTATTTACTTAAAAACAAGACAACATCTCTATAAAATGGGTAGATAGCTCAGCTACTTAGTTGGATAGACTAGCACGAGGAGGGGTAGTCCCTTTGCATCTATTTGCAACTCTAACATCATCAATGTGTTTGTGCTTTATCCGGTACGGAAAATCCAGTGTGTGTGTCCAGTCTGCTCAAGTGAAAGTGGTCTTGGCCAACCTAACAATTACAGGGCTTGTGAATGGAAAGAACGTTTTTTCATAATAAACTTTCAAAATAAAACATAGTTAGAATGTGGAATTTTGGAAGGCTTCTTACACTGACACAGCTAATCAGAGTTATGTAACTTAGGAAGGATCCAGTCATTTGTGTTAACCAAGCCCATCTTACTGCCCTGTTGTCTTGGGCCAGATGTTCCAAGTCCAGTTTGGCAGCCTATGCACCTGAGGTGGGGACCTTGTTGATTTGTCCTTTCTTAACCCTAATGCCACCTCCAAGTCATTGACATTTTAACTACAAATAATAGCTTTATTATGTATATTCTTTCCCACTTTGCTCAGAGGAAGAACTGGCCTGAGCATAGCCAAAGACATTGGTCCCAGCTATTCTGTTTGACCAGGCACCATGTTTTTATTCTATTGACGAATTTTCCTTTCACATATTTTTTCATATGTGCCCTAAGAAGATGAATGTTTCATTTAAAGTAATAAAGCCCTAACCGGTTTGGCTCAGTGGATAGAGCATTGTCCTGTGGACTGAAGGGTCTCGGGTTCGGTTCCGGTCAAGGACATGGACCTTGGTTGCGGGCACATCCCCAGTAAGGGGTGTGCAGGAGGCAGCTGATTGATGTTTCTAACTCTCTATCCCTCTCCCTTCCTCTCTGTAAAAAATCAATAAAGTATATTTAAAAAATAAAATAAAGTAATAAAAACATTGAATTGAAATACATTTGTGTCTGCCTCCTCCTGAGGGCATTTTCATATATGAACATTTTTTTATTCTAAGTAAGACCTGAGGTTCATAAAGCCCACTCATTGCTGCCATGCCCTGCCCAATTCTGCCTTGCTTTGTCATGGAGGTGCTGCTGCTGCCCCCACTCTGGCCTCTACCTCTGAAAACTTTTTCTCTACAAATGATTTCTTAATCACAGCTTTTTTATTTATAATGAGAAAATTAACAGGCATCTGTAGATATTATGGATAATTTTGGCCGAATGTGCCAAATTAATGATTCTTGTTTGTAAATCTCACTTATGCAAAGAATGACTAACCAGAATTAGTCAGTACCGAGAGCAGTGGGCAACATAAGTTTCCCTACTGCCTTGTGTGTGTGTGCCAGTGCAGCTCATCTCCCAAAGAACTCCAGCCAAACGTGTGGTTATAGTGGTGGCAGGCTATGATTTTCAATCAACAAAATGTATTAACAAACTAAGCTGGATCTGATCCAGGAGCCTCTGATGAGCAGCTCACTTCTCCATTCTGTTGTGGTGATCACCTCTTCTTTCATCAGTAACTCCCTTCTCCTGTTTCCTTCTCCTAGCACTCCAGTTCTCGCCTGAATTACCAAAGCAGTGTTCAGGGATCCTCGCAGTCCCAGAGCACACTAGGCTACTCCTCCTCATCTCAGCAGAGCACCCAGTACCACCCATCTCACCAGGCCCATCGGTACTGACTCCCGCAGCCCAGAGCAGACTCCAGCAATATGATGTCCGCATTGAAGAGAATCAAAAATGCAAAAACTGTGATGCCGTGTAAAACTTACCCACGTGGGAGGAAGACTGTATTCTGAGCATCTTGCAGGACTGATGTCTCTTCTCTATTGACTTACAGAAGATTTTCGTGAAGTTTCCCCAGCACCCTTTCCCTGCATGTGTTCATCGTGACTTCTCTGATCGGGCGTCTGATCCAATCCCAGCACTTACCTTCTGTGACCTTCAGCATTCTTTTGAAGGATTTCCTGGTGCACCTTTCTCGTGCTGTAGCAATCACTATGATTTATCTTTTCAAAGCTCTTTTAATAGGATTTTAATGTTCTAGAATCAGGACTCCAGTGGTGTAAAGTTTTATACTTCATCAACTAACCTAGCAACACAGGTAAAAACGTACCTTTTAAAGCACTACGTTATTTTCACAAAATATAACTGTTTTGCTCATGGAAGTCTTAAACAGAAATTGTTACTGTCCCAAAGTACTTTATTATTATGTTTTTATTTATCTAGTTTCAGGGAAGGTCTAATAAAAAGACAAGTGGTGGGACAGAGGGAGCCTACAACCAAAAACAGCCTACATCTTCGCAGTTGGTATGCTTCATGCAATGAAGCACCGAAGTGTGTGATGGTTTTTATGTAATCATTTACATGGAACTTAGTTCCCAGAATCATCTTATCCTGAACAGTAGTCAGTAATGAAGAATTATAAATTTAACTTCCTGTAGCTAAGTCTGCGTTAAAAGGGTTTTGAGAGCTTTGATGAAATGCAGTCCTCTGGTGACCCGCACCAGAGAGCTGAAGAGAACATTAACTGCACTAGGATTCTTTAAGGAGCAATGCTGATCAGAGGATATATTACTTTCCTTTGAAGGAAAAGCTTCTAGTGTGTATTGTACATAACGTTGGCTTCTCTAAAGAGCTGTTGGTTTCTTCACATGTGGGCCATCTTGAGTAACTTTCTTACATAATCAAGGGTACTCGACAGAAGCCTGCCAATGAATCTGCTTTTAAAATAAAGAGCAGTGTTCTCCATTTGTATTTGCATTAGATATAGAGTGACTATTTTTAAGGCATGTTAAAAATTTAGGTTTTATTCATGTTTAAAGTATGTATTATGTATGCATAATTTTGCTGTTGTTACTGAAACATAATTCTATCAAGAATCTTTTCATTGCACTGAATACTTTCTTTTGCCCCTAGGGGAAAACTAATAATTGTGCCTAAAAAACTATGGGCAGATAGTATACAACTAAACTAGATAAAGTGCATATTTGCATTTCCATGATCTATGAATTGGAGGCCGAGTTCTTTCTCAGTCAGTGTAAAGAACCCCTCACTCCCCAGAGTCACAAAGAAATGTAGACTTAGAGCTCTCGTAATGTAAGGGACAGGACATTTGTGTTCTCTGAATGCTACTAGCAGCACCAGCCTTGTTTTAAACGTTTTCTTAGCTAGAAGAAATAGCTGATTGTTGTATATGCAAGTTATAAGCATTTTTTTACTATTCTTTATGAACTTATCTACCTGGTTATATACTCTGGGTCCATACACAAGTAACATAAGATTTTAGACAGAAGCCAGTATATATTTTGCACTATTGATGTGATCCTGTAGCCAGCAAGGACCTTACTGATTTCAGCATAATAATGCTTATTAATAATAAAGACTATATAGTGATGCTCACCAACACTGACACAGTTGCATGCATGCTCCATTGGAAGGAATTTCTGATTGTCTCTATGGTAATCTACCCCTTCCGTTTTCAAAATGAAAAATTAATAGCCCTCTGCCTAATGTAGCTACATATATAAGGTTCTGTCCTGTGCCTGAAGCCTCACTGTCCAGAGTTATTGGTCCTCAGATGCTCACTGCACCCTCACCGTGTACCCAGTGCTGTGCTGGATGGAAGATACAAAGGACAAGACGTACTTGCTGGCTCTTAAGGAGCTTACGTTCCACTCCATGAAAGGGAGCTCTGCTGGGATGGTTGGCTTATAAGGGAAAACATCTGAGAATGTGAAGGTCCTTTTGTTCACTTCTAAACCCACTTGGATGGAGTCACTATTCCAAATTCTCCACAAGAAACTGTTATGGAGAGGTTTCTATGTGTAGTTACCTTTGAGAATGCCAGCAATTCAGTATCACAGCAGGCATTCATGTACATTTGAAATGTTCACAGCAGCCTTTCAATATTGGGTGGCTCTTGGTAGGCAGAACACTAGTAAGTAGCTGTAGGAAATTAGAATGAAAATAGAAGCCCTGTCCTGCCCTCAAGGGGACCTTACATTTAATGAAAGACATACCCAAGTATGTGCATGAACCCAAATGCCATGTCCCTTCATACTTTATACGCAACTTTGAAATACAGTTCTTGTGATATGTGCTTATAGGATCATAGGACTACCTAGCATTCCTGGTGTGTGGTGCATTTTACTGGCAGAACCGATGGAGGCTGTAAGGGGATTTCATCAGTTGTTCCCAGTACGATGTTCTCCAGAATCGAGCCAGATATCCCCATTCCACACAGGACCGGGTTTCTGGTCATTGCACTGGCTCTGGCCCTTTCCTCCCGTGGTCCTGCCTCAGAGTTGGTGATGCCCGTTATCTTTTAAGATAATTTTGATTTGTAATTTCTGTTTCCCTGTAAGGGGGCACAAAGCCTTGAACACATTTATGGTCCCTAAAATTGTGGGACCTCAAAGGAGAACTATGAAGCTTTTTAAGGTTCAAATTTACCTTTGTAGTCCCCAAATGGCCACATTCCTCTTCGAAAATTTATTACTCTCATGTCCCCGAGAATGCAGGGGGAGATTCCTCAGCATATGGGAACACCTAAACCAGGGAAGGTCACAGGAAAGAAGGAATCAACATGAAGGTGCTCTGCTCCCCATAATTACAAATCAATTTGAGGTAGCTTTCTGGTGAGGTGTGTGTTTGGAAAACGGGATTTCAGGGCAGCTGAGCTCAAGGGTAAGGTTGCCTGGTGGCAGGACTGACACTAAGAGGCTGAAGCAATCCTTGTGAGGAAACAGATCATGCAGTAACATACAAAAACCAAGGACATGTATATTTTTATATCTGTGTGGTTCTAAAACTTTAGTACTTAGAATTTTGGCCTTCTGCACTACTCTTTTGCTCTTATAAACAATTTACCTTTTAAAATGGAAAGGGACGGCATTTACATATGTGTTCACTGCCTCATTCCTGGTGAAGCAGCTGTTAGTTATATGCCTCTAAAACTATGCTGTTTTCTCTGCTAAAGAGAGAAAAAATAGTTGGACAATAAGACTTGCCACTTAGTCTGCTTTGAATAAATTTATGTAGCAGAAACTATATAATGAAGGAAGAAATCTATGAAAATTGCAAACCCCAACCTATCTATGGTGAGATCTTTGCAGGAAATAGAGGAAGGCAGTGAAATGGCAGTGAGAGTAAAGGAGGCTTGAAGGATTCAAGTATAAGTAACGTTTTATATAAAGCATAGTAGTTTAGGTCCCCATAATCTTAAAGAGAATCATAAATATCATAAAGCAAAGTTCATTGGTTTAGGATTTTTAAAAAATGTGTTGTACCTAAGGCCATACTTACTCTTCTATGCTGTCACTGCAAAGGCGTGATAAGTATGTATTATATGAAAAAAAAATCCTTAATGCACTGTTATCTCCTAAATATTTAGTAAATTAAAACTATTTAATTTTTTTAAAGATTTGTCTGTGTAGACACTAAAGGTATTACACAAAATCTGGACTGAAGATGTCCTTTTTAACAACAATTTAAAATACTTTTTATATATGTTATGTAGTACATGCTTTCTTAAACTGCATAGTTTGTATTTCCCATAATTCCTATTTGTGAAGTGTGCTCGTCCTTGTCTCACTTCAGTCATTTCCTGCATGCATCCCTCTTTATGGCTATAGAGATGCCTGTATGCTCTCCACACTCTGCTACGAGGTGTCGCTCAGGGCGCTGCACCCAGCGAGGCCCGCCCTGGGGGTGCAGGACAAGCCGCCGCTTTGGAGCGGAGTGTCCCCCCGCTTTTGAGTTGTCCTGGCCTCCTCCTTGAAATGACTGTTAAAACTAAAATAAATTACATTGCATTTATTTTATATTCTTGGTTGTAATAAAAATTTAATTGACTTTGTTTCTGTGTGGCTTCTTTAAGTATAAAAAACTCTTGTTGTAAGTGTTGGTGTTGAGATTTGAATGGTGCGCCTAGAAGCTTTTCCAATCACACTTGTCCAGCAGCGATACAGCCTCCCTGTGAGTAGCCACTTGGGGTTGTATTCAGGGTGTTTATGATGTCACAAAACCACAGAGGCAAGGCTTGCAATACCTCAGAAGCAAAATTACAGTCTTTAAAACATCTCCCCGGGAAACGTCCTATTTTTGAAAATTAAAATTAAAATGGTGTTTTAGAAGAAAACAAATAAGCAGCATTTTGTGGGGAGAGTGGCGCTGGGAGTCTGTCCTTTTATAAGAACGCTCTGTTGTACCTGGCTTCCCCTTATGGTTTACGCGATGAGTCCTCTGAGGTTAATCCAAGGGTCAAAAGCATCGTGGAGTGAGTTGAAGAATGGTTAAGTGACACACAATTTCCATTTCTATTTAAAATAGATATTACACATATCTAACTGCTTCACTGCTTGGCACAGATCGGTTTTTCAAAACTGCTATTCACAGGGTAGAGCTTCTCTTGGAAAACTTTTTTGGCCACGGCTGCCTTTCTAAGCAGCCACCTGGGTAAGAGAAAATGGATGACTGCACAAACCCCTCACCTCCAGGGAAAGGGACCTGAAAGGTGGGTCTGTCTCCCCAGCGAAGTGTAAGTTTTGTGGACAGCGCCTAGGATTTATTCCTCCTGCACTCCCAGCAGCTGGCAGGATGCTCAACACAGCAGATAATATGGCGAGTCACTAGCATCCCTTCTGTACACTGGCATAGAATTCCCACATCACTTAATATGTCGTATTTATATTTGGACATGGATGCATGATATATAATTTCCATGAATAATGAAAATGCTAGAAATAGGCATCGCTTCTTAAAATAGGTTCATTTCTTATATTTTTGGCTGCAAAGTCAATATAAAATATCACCCCAAAGGAACCATCTAAATTGCATTTAAATAAAAAATTAAGCCAAGTTAGCTGTACTCACCAATCTTAGGAAGCCATCTTTCTCCTGGCTGCGTAGAGGTGGGCATTTTCACGCCTTACAGAGCGTTTTATCTACAGGCAGTGGAGAGCCAGCGTGGCCAAGCAGCACACACACCTAGTAGGAACATGTGTTCATTTGATCTAAATGAAAATACAGGGGAAAGAAATGGAAATATTGACTTAAAGCATTACAATGTATTTAGCACATTCCTTTGGCTTTTTTATACTTTTTCAGAAATTGCTGCTGATTTTTTTCACACAAAGATGCTATAATGGACTAAATATTTGTGTGTCCTTCCCTCCTCCAAATTCTTTTTTTTTTTTGATTAATTATTTATTGTTCAGATTATTACATTTGTTCCTCTTTTTACCCCCCATAACTCCCCTCCACCCAGTTCCCACCCAACCCTCCTCCCTCACTCCCCACCCACTGTCCTCATCCATAGGTGCACGATTTTTGTCCAGTCTCTTCCCGCATCTCCCTCACTCCTTTCCCCCACAAGAATAGTCAGTCCACTCCCTTTCTATGCCCCTGATTCTATTATAATCACCCGTTCATTCTGTTCATCAGATTATTCACTTGACTTTCAGATTCACTTGTTGATAGATGTGTATTTGTTCATAATTTGTATCTTTACTTTTTTCTTCTTCTTCCTCTTCTTAAAGGATACCTTTCAGCATTTCATATAATACTGGTTTGGTGGTGATGAACTCCTTTAGCTTTTTCTTACCTGTGAAGCTCTTTATCTGACCTTCAATTCTGAATGATAGCTTTGCTGGATAAAGTAATCTTGGTTGTAGGTTCTTGGTATTCATCACTTTGAATATTTCTTGCCATTCCCTTCTGGCCTGCAAAGTTTCTGTTGAGCAATCAGCTGACAGTCGTATGGGTACTCCCTTGTAGGTAACTGACTGTTTTTCTCTTGCTGCTTTTAAGATTCTCTGTTTGTCTTTTGCTCTTGACATTTTATGATGTGTCTTGGTGTGGTCCTCTTTGGATTCCTTTTGTT